CTGAAATCTATTCATGTAAAGTTTACACAAAATAACTATCAATAAGACTTTTAATTTGATTTTTGTATAAAACTTTAAAGATAATGAAATGTATATAACCAATTTTACATTCTATTTTATTACTAGAGTTGATGAAGTAGAAGCTTCAATTAGTGTTCAATTTATTGACTCAGCCAAAGAAGTATGGGCTGGCTTTAAAAATGCTTTAAGAGTTTTTGATATGGAACGTCCAGGTCGACAAATAAATACTATTCAATTTAAGAAAGATTTTCCAAATATAGGAGGATTAGTTTCCTGTATTCGAGAAAATCCAATTATGCCAGGATTAGTTGCTTTTGGTACATACTCTAAATGCATTGGTAAGTAAATAATAAGTAATATGCAAGTATAAAATTACTATTAATAGAAGTAATAGTACTAATAATACAATTATGCACTTTTTGTTAGGTTTATATAGAGATGGACCATTATGTACTTTTAAAACAGGGAGTGGTGTAACTCAAATTGAATTTAGTCCTTGTGGGATGAAATTATATTCAGCGGTTAGACGTACCCAGGAATTTTTATGTTGGGATCTTCGTAATCCGGGCAATGTACTGTACTCTTTTCAAGGACGTCAATCCGATACAAACCAGAGAATTCAATTCAGTGTTACGTCTGATGGAAAACAAATAGTTTCGGGTATGTTGATACGTAAATTACGAAAATTATTTTATTATTGTAAAGGTAACCTTCTATTATTATTAATTTCTTTTTTTTAGGCGGTACAAATGGAGACATTGCAATTTGGGAATTACCGGACGATATCGATTATGCGGACCTTAATGCAGTATATAAAATAAAATTATCTCGCGACTGTATAAATGGAATAAGCTTGCACAGAAATTTACCAATAATTGCTACTAGTTCTGGACAAAGACTTTGTGATAGCCCATTACAAGACAGAGATAACAGTGTTCGTTTATGGTTATTTTCTTAACTTGACAATGTAATAAACTACTATAAATATAAATGCAAATACAATTTTATAAATAGAACGTATAAATACGTTACAAGTACTTTTGTATACAATATTTTGTGATAATTTAATACATAATGTGAATTTTA